GGGATGTTATAATAATAGAAGTCATATTTGGCAGTTTTGGATTATTAATTATTCTCTACAATTTATTGATGCCTTGCTTCATGTTCCTATTATATTAATGTCTAGAAAGTAGTATGATTGGAAGATTTTTTTTTTAATCTGAATATCTGCTCCTACTTCTAATCTACTTTCTGAGTCTGTTGTTGACATTGTAGTAATTCAGTTGAGTAGGGACATACTGTCTGAATGTCCTGTGACAGGAAGCTAAACGTGTGAGGAAGACAGGTGCTACACATGGTAAATTGTTGACTCGGAGTTTGTGCCCTTTGAGAACTTCATGCTGCTAAGAAAATATTCAGTTTTGTGTGTGCTCTCATGATAACTCCCAGGAAGAACTGACATCTTGTAACTTTCAACCTAAAAAATGTGCAGCTCTTACTTAATCTTTGTTTAAAACTCATCGTGGCTTTCCATGACTTTCTAAATCAAGTCTCAACCTCTTAGTTTGACCCTTAGACTATACTTTACAGCCCCTTCCATAGTTTTCCTCAATTCTCCTACACAAACTTATCACAGTAGACAAAATGGACTATCTATTGAAATCACTTTCCTACAAATGCATCATGGCTCAATCCTGTCTCCGTGGAAAATCCAATATAATTCCCTTTAACCTCTTCCTTCTTCCAACATGAAAACTAGTCTTGGCACTATATGCATGCCCATAACTCATGGTATTTTAAAATACTGCTTATTATATATTTTTTGCTCTTTCTTCCCAGCTCCTTGATGTATGTCTTGAGTTTGGCTTGTCTTTAGATAAAGAGTTTCAGGCCCTTTTTTGTACTAAAAAGTATGACAAAAGAGGAAGTTCTACTACAGATAGTCTAACTCAGAATTATTTCTGCAACATAACCACACTGGGCTGTGATGTTATGGAGCTTCCAATTGCTATTGGGCTAAAGGAGCCCCTGCATTTGGGGATGTAAGCTCCTTTTTAAATGTGTTTTAAGCAAACTTACCGTAGAAATGGCAAATTAGGCTCTCTGGTTCCTTCAGAAGTAAAATTTAAGACATTCTCTGAATTGTCTTATTTTTGTAAAAATCTTGAAATTATTAACAACTGGTACTGCATGGGCAACAACCAACCACAGCAGACTCCACTTAAAGAACCAGTCTGACCAAGTGGCTAGTACAAATGGTTAGAAATCATTTCTAATTACTACTCTCTCATAAATAAATCTAAAGGGCCTCATCTCTTCCTCAAATAATTATAGGATTTATATGTTAAATAATCTTGGCTGGATAGAAAAAAAAAATGCCCTTTGGGAACATGAAGTAGGAAGGAGAGCGACAAAAAAGTAACTTACCAGTGAGATTATAAGTGAATTCTCAGTTTCTTTTGCTTTTCAACGAGGGTGGGTCAGGCCCTAAATAGTGAAGGCCCTTTCAAGGGTCATAGTGTTTGGTGGTTTACCACCATTCCAAAAGCGGCAAACAGGAACAGAATAAAAAATGGACAGACTTTGTCCTGGAAATCAATATCTAAGTTGAATGGATTGACTTAGTCTTTTATGAGTTGAGATAGCTCACATCCTAGTCATTTGGTTATATATTCTTTGTTTCTTTCCCTTCCTGCCTTCCTTTCTCCATTTCACCCTTCCTTCCATGAGATTCTCTTTGACAAAAAAAATTAAAGATATAAATTACACTTTGAATGTAAATAGCAAAGAGATGGTTGGTTTATTAATGAAAGAAAAAAGTCTAATAAGCAAAGGACAGAAACTAAAGTGAGAAGACTGGTTACTTCCTGAAGGCCAGATTCTCATTAAGCAAATATAAATGGAAAAATGGCAGGAATTTGAGGGTCTCAAGTCTCTTAACTCAATCCCTATCTCTAATTGGAGATATAGGTTAGAGGTGAAGGGATTAGATACAGCTGGATGTTGAACTAGGGATAAGGGAAAGCAGGGATGAGCTTGAGGAGAAAACCCTAGAAATAGGTGGAAAAATCTGACCTACATGATTCAGGTATATTTGAACTTAGAAATTTGCAGCCTGAACCTAAGGAGACTTCAAATTGGGAGCACAAGAATGAACCTAACTATTCTATGTCCAGAACAGAAAATGTTCACCACATTAAGGCTAGGAGTATTGTTTGGATAATGCAACAAAAAGGACCATTATTACAGCCCTGGACAAATTGTCTCCAAGGGCTTGGCCAAAGAGAGGCAGTCACACCCATGTTCCTACTCTTAACTTAGATCATGTCCTCTGGGATCTGAAAGGGATCATAGAGTCATCTGGATAAATCATCCTCATTTACAAATGAGGTAACTGAGACTTGGAGAGTTTAAAAACTCAATATTCAAAGCTCATAACCGGTTATTTGCAAATGTGGCTCATATTAATCTTCATATTCAACTGTAAGTAGAAAATATGGTTTTTCCCCCTTTCAACCTAAAAATATCTCCAAATTTCTTATGTGTTCACACATCTCCCCTTTCCAACCCTAACCAAACAGCTTTAATAGTCTGTTTATTTAAAGTCTTCAATCAAATTTTTTACAAAGTACTTCATAAAATGCCACAACCCTTGGAAGGAAAACGTTTCAGAGTGTTCTCCAACATTCCTTAGTCACAATCACTTTTATTTAAGGTTTTTTATATTGGTTCGAATTGGTACTCTAAAATATAAGTTGCTTAGACAGAAAGTTTTCTCAATGAGAAAGGCGATGATGTACTTATAGACAGATACTTTCTGTTTTCTAAACTGCCTGCAGGTGAGTCTTTGGTTTCCATAGCACCCAAAAATTGTTAGTCTGGGAAGATGGATTTTCTGGAACCCTAAACTAGGACTGGAGATCAGAGCCTTATAATGTGGACTATACCAAAGAAGACCATCATTGTTCTGAGATGGACATAGGCAGAAAGACAATCTGTCACAGTAGAGATGGGTGAAGATTCAGGATCAAAAGAGCTCAAAAATAGAAACAAATCAGGAAGAAGCCCTGGCATTCCCTTGAGCCCTCCAGTGATTTTACAAGTCTTCTGTTTCCACCTCACTTCCAACTTGCCAGGCATTGGTGTTTACCAAATGGGCCACCAACCAGTTATTTTTGTGCTTCCTTTAAAAAAAAGCCGGATTTTATTTTCTAGTTAAAAACATTTTATTATTACAAAGGCCAAACTGCATAAGCTTGTTGCTCTAACTTAAAAGAAAATTAATTTCTGCCAATTTGGGTTTGGGGGTGTTGATGAACCAAGGGGCCCTTTGCTATAGGAAACCATCTTAACCATTATGATTATTTTTTTTAATTTAGATTCAAATCTCTAGCCATAAATGCATAAATGAACATGAGCTGAGATGGGGCTTGCATTTTTGCTTCTAGACTGCCTTGGTAGGGAGAGACAGAGGGAGGAGAAGGTAGGGGGAATGGGGCACTGTGCCCTGTGTTGGTTAATAGAAGATCCTTTATTTGGCCACCAGAGCCTGCCAGAAGAGACCAAATAACTATAGCAAATTTGGAGGTGGTGATCAGCAACAAGAGTGAAGAGCCCGCTATGGTTCATGAAGGAAAGAAGAGCGTGGATTGACGTGAATGTACTAAGGTGACCCCAATGCAAAATCATTATGTAAAAGAAGGCCTAGCTTTCAGGAAAGTTGTCAAAATCCCAGCAAGAGATTCTCCCCACAAACACATTTGACTTCTGTTGGAAACCAAGAAATGTTTATAAGCCTGAATATAGACTGTTGACGTAATTGTAGTCTGCTGAGTAGACTAGTGATTAATTATAAGTAGTTTTAAACAATCCAATTGGACAAACATTATATTCACAATACTTTTATAGAACTAATTCTACAAAATGTGACGACAGAGTAACCACAGTCCGACAAGTCACTGCAGGACGATGCCTAACAAAGTGGCAGCACGACTATATTGGCTCTGCAGGGAGTGGACAGAGGTGGAAGCTCATTTTACCTACGCTGGTAATTGGAGTACTTAGTGGACATATGTTTTCATAGTGATCTCATTGCTTTGCTCTGATCTGATTTGCACTACCATAACTAGGTACCACAATGCCATGGCCTAAAGAGTTAATGGAATAGATATCATGGGACTTTGGGGGATACTTTGTTTAGTTTGTTCATTTACGTGTCCATGGCTTATACTTTTTAAGAAAATAAAAATCACTATCACGTCCATGCTTCTCCAGAGATCCTGATGATCATATCAAAGATGGATAATTTTGAAGTTGAAAAACTTGCTAAGTTGATCGGAACAAAACAGTTGCCGGGCGACTGTACACCGAGCATGCAAACAACAGCAGAGCTCTGAGACACTGAAATTGTGTCTGATGGCTAGAAAAATCTTTTGACCACAGTTTGAAGTGGCTGATACATTTGATTTCATTTCACTGCTGGTAATTTTCAAAAACTTTTTCTAACAGTCTATATTGAGTACATTCATTGCTTTCCTTTTGTTAGTATTATTTTTTAAATTGTTGTAGCAAGTTTGTGTTTGGCCCCAGCAACTAAATAAAGGAAAGCATGCAAATTAATATCTGGGCAAATGTCATCTCCTTGATCATGAAAATGTTCTAGCTTTTAAACAAAAACTCAGTGAGAATGAAGGCGCTCTCATATCCTATTGTGAAGTAAAACTCTTCACTGGTTTTGCAAATTCTCAGGCTAGAAACTCTGAGACTTGGAGAGTAGAGAGAAAGTCCACACCAGACGCTCCCAAAGCTGACATGACTTGCACGGGTGGTTTGGAAATATGAAATAAGAAGCATATAGCATGTAGGAGCCCCCACCACTAGAACAAGGTCTCATGTGTATCTGGGCCTCAGATTCGACACCCCAGGTATGCCTATAACCCTCCTGGTAGCCTTAGTTGGCCAAGCAAAGCTGAACTGGCAATTGTAGAAAAGCTGCAAGAAGGTCTTCCCCTTTAATATATGAACAAAGGGATGAGAAATACAGAATGAAAACTAAAACTACAAAAATATGACTTTCAACTGTGAAAATAAATGTTTCCATTTATTAAGAGCTGGTGTCAATGCCGATCAAAATACACACCCATCCAGGAGAGGAGTAGGTATTTACCTACCCCGTTGTCTTCTTATTTGGATATACTAAAATACATGTATACATTGTTGGCCATTGTAAAATTGTTTTAATAATTAATTTCCCTTAATTACAATTAATTGTGGTGGTGACCATCATTCTCCTCAAAGAAAAAGAGAGAAAGAAGAGAAAAACGCATTAAGGAGTCTGGCCACTTATTCATTTCGATTTTGCATTGTTTGGATATAGGGAAGATATTTGACAATGAAAAAGAAAAGAAAAAATATATTTTCTTTCTAATAAATAAAAATAATTTAAAATGCTAGAGGCTATACATGACTATTTTAGTATGTTCATTTATAAATGAAATTATTTTCTTTTCCAAAATACATGGAAGCAATATTCAAGGCAGACAAAGAGAAAGATCTGTCTACTTTATTTTCTTGCAATTCTTGCTTATCCTAACGTTTCCACCAGTGATTCAGCATGTAAGAGGAAGAAAAGTCACGTCACCATTTATGAAGTTTGTCAGGCTTTAAAAAAATAGTTCTGGTCTCCTGGGAGTCAACATTCATCTTCAACTTCTCTGATTGGTGGAATCAAGCTGCTTGTGGATTTATATTGGTTGATCTGGTTAGCCATGTGGGTACTCATGGGCTTGATTTGAATGTTTCTGGGATAGGCATTATCCGGTTCATCTGTAAACCATTTCTTTTCTGCTAAAGGGCAAAATGGATAGAGAACAAGAAGGAGAAATGAGAAGTTTAATTAGTCCTAGGGTAAAGCCTTTGGAAAGTTCATTGAAAAATGCAAAAAGGTAATCAATAGAAGCTGACAGTGAGTAATTGCTAAGAGAGACAGTGCAGTGTGGGGAGGACCCCAGAACCTGAAACATACCTCTGCTTCTTGTAGCAAGTGATGAACACAATGTACCATTGGGACTCGGAGGCAACATGGGTGGACCTCAGAGAATAAGGAGGGATTGGATAATAGTCTGTGGCAATGTTCTCTGGAGGTACTTTTGTGACCCGAAAACTTTGGTGGAGAGGAGATGTTGCATATATCAGATATTGGGTACAGACATTGTGACTGACAAATGATTTGTGCATCCATTGGTTTGAGTGAAACATTGAAGGACACCATCCTTGTTGCAGAAAGAGTGATCTAGAATCGTACGCAGGGTTGCCTCCTCCCTGTCTTTACTTGGTTTTGCTCCTAACAAGCATACATACAGGCAGGCACATGTCAACTACACCACTCTCCTGTTTCTATTGCAGCCAGTTTTGGGGGGTCTTAAAGTAAACCCATAGATTTTGCTGGCCAATGAGAGTGAAAATCGGAATAGAGACCAATGTTTTGAAGAGGACTTTGAGATGGCTTTTATTTCAAGGAAGAAAACTCTGTATTGGTAAAAAGTTATGAAAAGGGTTCCAAGTGGCAATATCTTAACCGACTATAATAAACCAAGCTGTCGACAAGGGAGCTCGATGAAGTCTTGGCATTTCATTTCCAACCTAAATACAGAAATGGCTGAGAAAGAATGCTGAGTCAGGGGGTTCGGGGGCTGGGGTGAGAATGAAAATGGTCTAGCATCCTCTCAGCAGTGCAAAGCTATTTTACAAGCCTCAGTCCTCATCCCCGCCTCTTTCTAGGATTGAAATTTTCTGGGAAATTGGCCATGTGTATAGATAGGGAAGGACTGGGCAAATAGGACATTCTAACTTGGGAATCACACGCCTCATTTTAGCTGCTTAGGGAAAGAAAAGTAAAAGAAAAAAGGTAAAAGCTGTCAAGCACACCCACTGCTAAAGAGACAAGAGCCTCGCCAGTGTCTTTTCCTGCTTACCAGAACAATTCGTAACTGCCTTGTCAGTGGTCTTGGACTGACAGGTTCATGAAAATTGCTCACTTGGCTTGATGTGGGTGTGTGTGGGTGTGTGCACATTTGGCTAATGATTTATAAATGAAGCATCTATGATCAGCTCATGACCGTTCTGCTTGTTTCTCCTTCATCCGTACTTTTGCTGTTTCAAATGCCCTGAGTACTCAGAGTCACGGATGACTGTCTCTGGAGCTGGGATATGCCTGTGTAAAAGCCTCATTCCCCTTTGTTCAGCAGATCAGTTTACCCCACAGGAAACTTGCTACCTCTTGCATCAGTCTCCCCGCACCCCCTTCCTGCTCTGGCTCTCTCACCTATTATAATTAAGTTCACTTTGATTTGAACAGATTGGACGATAGGAATTCATAATGCTACATCCTCACAGTGAAGCTAACTGATTAAGTGCTTTAAATTATTCCCCCTGACAGAATGATAAAGTTACAATCTGTTCTGAGATGATCTACAGCTTGCCAGACTCCTACAGCTTCTTTCTACATTCATTTATCTTTTTGTCAAGCAGAGTTTTTTTTTTTTCCTAAGCTTCAATTCCATAGATCTTTTAAAGTCATCAGCACATCTGAATTATTAATGAGGCTTTAGAGGCAAGGTTCCTGATGGGCTGGTTAAAAAAGGTTGTATAGAAATCCAGAACTGTGTACACATCAAAATAATTTCAGCTCCATTTAAAAAACCATTTAGTTCAAGTGTGACATAGATGAACCATTATGCATTTGTGGAAACCAATTTTTTGTGATCTACGATTAAACTAACCTTTCAGAGAGGAGTAAAGTGTGATGGTTATCATGTTTTAAAAGCATTGCCAAGCCGCTGAAACAATTTCAAACTCTGACTTTTTCAAACAGTTTATGTGTAAAGATGATTTTCAGAGGGGTTGAGCCTGGTGTTTGTGCTCTGTTTGCCTGAGCTGCCCTTGGTTTTGGCCATGCTGTTATGCACACTGATTTTGCAAAGGGATTTAGTGCTAGGTTGGACATGCCAGGTTGGAAGAGTGAACTTTGCTGATGGAAATGAGTAGGTCTTTTGGGTGAAAGACCTAAGACAGCTGCAATTTGCTGAAATTTTTACAACTGCTGCAGAGAATAATTGTTCAGAATTTAGTCTTTACAGTTCAATTCAAAGTTGGCATTTTGACCTTTCACAGCAGAGAGAATATCAATTTCCTTCTGCTGTCTGTAAGAAAGAGAGCATTATTTCCCCCATTTAAGCTCCTCTCTTTCCTTTTAAATGCCTTGCCATAAAAAGGAATCTAAGCAGAGTAGCCCGTGTTTTGGTCATGTCACTTCAACACAAGGAATGAGTTGTGTTAAAGCACATTCTGGTGAGGAGTTGAGAAACAGCTGTGTCATTTGGGTGCCTCCTAAGGTATAAATATATGTTGTTGGAGACTTGGTTAGGTAAGATGTTGAGGAAATGGAAATAGATGGATGCTCTGGGTGTTTTACCAAAATGTCTGGTAGCAAAGGTATTTTAGGAGGAGATTCTTCAAGAAACACACATTTTAATGATCACCAGTCATTCGGCTTTCATGGAGAGTGTTTCAAGTGGACTATTTAATTTATTGAATCTTTTCTTCCATAAAAGAAACAATACCAATGGGTGGCTACAAAGTTGGCCACAAGGAGGAGGATTCAGAAATGGAATTCAAATGAATGTTGATGTGGTCAAGGATAAATTCAAATCCCTCTGTTTATCTCTTTTCCCTTCCTCATCTTACATGTCAGAATGATTTCCAGGGTTTTATTTTAATCCCTAAGATAGAAAGGCACTTGATCTGACTGGAAGGACTTCCCATTGCCAAGGAAAAATAACTTCATTTGTTAATAAGCTTCTTGAGAATGAGATGCCTGTTGTCATCCCTCTGAGTACAATGTGTGACCTGCCAGGAGTTAGTAGAATTAGGAAAGAAGAGGCATTTTAATCTGTGGGCTAGTGGGCTAGTGGGCTAGGAGAACAAGATAAAATCTGGGAAACATCTGCAGAGAGATACTGGTGAAATGACTGCCACTGCCATGGGGAGATGCCCTCTATCAAGATCAGCCATGCCATGAGCTGTGTACCACGGACAGGCAATGAGGTGCAGGCTTAGGAGACAGTGTGGGGTAGTAGGTTAAAGTCAAGTGCAGGATTTCCTAACCCGTAGGCTGTGGACCAGTAGCGGTTGGTGGCTTGTTAGGAACTGGACCGCCCAGCAGGAGTTTGAGTGATAGGCAAGCAGAGTTCCGCCTCCTGTCAAATCAGTGGTGGCATTAGAGTCTCAGAGGAGCAGGAACCCTATTGTGAATTGCATGTGTAAGGGATCTAGGTTGCATGCTTCTTTTGAGAACCTAATGCCTGATGAACACCTTTCATCATCCATGGAAAAATTGTCTTCCACAAAACTGGTCCCTGATGCCAAAAAGGTTGGAGACCATTGGTCAAGCGGATCTGGAGCTCGCACATTCTAGTTGTGTGGCTCTGAGTGAGTTATTACTTAATTTATCTCAGCTTTATTTCTCTTCTGTAAAATAGGGTGGATAATACAAACTTTCTGATATTGTTGTTTAGATAAATGGAGCTAGTGCACTTGAAGCATGTACCACAGGTCCAGATACATGGTAAATATATGTGAGTTGTAAAATTATTAATACTAATAATATTAGCAGGCATTATATCATAGTGGCTAATTTCATAGACTTTTGTATCTCAGATGCTGCATCTTTCAAATAGAGACACTAACAGTATTTACATCTGAAGCTGTCATGAGGATTGAATGAGTTAATATATGTAAAGTGCTTAGAAGACTGTCTGGTCCAAGGTAATCCCTAAATTGTTAGCTTTTAGTATAAGGTTAGGACTAATCTCAGTACTATCAGAACTAAAGGATGATATAAGGATGAGCCATACATTTTGAGTATGATTACAAATGATGCCCTTCAGCAGAGACTTTGGGGGTATATAAATTGGGGTGCTGGCTTGAAGAATGTGGATTGGGACAGTAGAGATAACAGAGGAAGATTTTGTTGGTAGTCTTCATTTGGGTGGTAAAGAGGAAGGGGTAACCTGGTGGTGTTGTGTCTGGGGAATTCAGGGCTGCTCCCCTTCTGTAGTACCTCAGTGTCTCTGAAATATTGGTTTTCACTCGACAGGTACCCTATCCCACCCGAGCACCATCTGTGCTTTGCATTGCCATTTTCATCACTGAGACCTTAGGGTTTAAAATAAGGGTCAGGACTTCTTCCAGCCACAGGGCTGCAGGTCAGCCAGAGGAGCAGGCTATGGCAGGAAAGGGCCCCAGACCCAGACTGATTGAGCTTCCTGGGGCCCCACAAGCAGAGAAAGAAACAGACTCCACTGTGCAAATTGAGCTTCTTTGCTGGCTCTGTGGGCTGTCAGTACCGTGGGATTTAGCCTTTTCACATAACTACTCCCCAGAGAAGAGTACAGAAGAGAAGAGACAATAATACAGCAAAGGCATTTGGAATAATTGGCCCTCCTCTCACTGCACCACAAGCTGAGGTTTAGAGAGAAAAGGCTTGAAAAGAAAAGATTCCATTTGGAGAGAGATAACAGCTGAGAACAGTAAGGGCTAACAAGGAGCTTCAACCTTCAAGGGTAACGCTGTGTGGTTTCACATCTCACATTTCTGATAGGCAGTATGGCACTCTTCCTCTGCCCAGCAGACCCTGGTGCCCGCAATGATCCCACCCACACATACTGCTTCCTCTCCTCTGTGGGCAAAGGATGACTATTTCAGAGATGGAAATTGTTTGTACCAGAACCAGAGCAGTTTCCATTTATGAAAACTGTCTCACTTTTTTGCAGTTGTCTACCATGACTCTATTTGTCTCTTTTAACTGGACATCTAATGCTGCCATTCACTGAGCACACAAACTGCCCCCTCCTGGCCCTTCTCTTCGGCCCTTGGTTCATTCAACACCCTGAGGACAGACTCCTCACTCTTCCCTTTCAGGTGGCAGGGAATAATCCCTCTCACCTTCAAACACTGAAATGAACGTGCAGTCTCCTCATGGAAATCAGTCAACTAGCTTAGTGACAGGTGCCCACAGCCACTTCTTTATCATAGTATGACAAAGCAGGGAGGGGTTGAAAGAAGCTGATTGAGAAATTGATTTTTACCCTGTCTTGACGTCCATAGGCCCTGAAGTTTCTCTACTCTTTCTCCTTCAAGGAGCCTGTTGCTATAGGAACATAGCCAGTTGATTTAATTGTCTCTATTGGGATGTAGACACCTTTAGGCTTTTCCCATGCTGAAGAAGAGCCAATCAAAAGATTTTTCTGGTCATCTGGGATCTTGACAATACTGCCAAGAGATACAGTCAGCCTCTCCACTCACTGAACTTACGCTGTTCCCCTTTCTCAGAAGCTGTGTGACCAGCTCGAGAAAGTGCCACCTGCACTGGGAGGCACCTAGAGGCACTCATTGTATTAAAAAAAAAAAAAAGAAAAGAAACAGGATAATTCAAAAAAGTTGTTAAAGGTATAAAATATGTAAGGTCAATTTACTTCAAATATTTATCGAACATCTATTGTAAGGTTCTGGGTCATCATGTTTAATATTCAGAACAGAATTTGAAACGTCTCCCAACTATGGTAGAAATTTAACAGTATTATAAGGGTATCACTTTCTCTTTATCCATTTGAACTGACTTTGGGAAGAACCCTGTGCAGTAGTTATTAGGGTCACCGATGATTCCATGATCATCTAAGTGTTGAGACTGAGAAGGCTTCCCTGTGCCTTCTGGTCTATTAATTTACTTATCATTTACCCCTTTCAAAGCCCAAAGCAAACTGAACTGAATGGCTTACAAATTGATTATCTTCTAGAATGGTGCAGATATCTGAGTTCCTAGCTGTTGTTCTTTTTAGATGTATATATTTTCTCTTCAAAGAACTCTTTCATTTTCTATCCTTGTCTATTTGTTTCCTTTGTTGGTGGGGAGAGGATGGGGGAGAGATATGATATGTGAAACTTGTTACCTCCTTCCTAAGTGAGTGGATGTTCTCCTGAAAGAGGAAGAGGGGTTTGGGGGTCAGATGGACAACAGTGGAGGAAACTCTTTGCTCTATTAAGGAAAATATAATAGTTTCAGCTAATAAAATAGAAATAATAATGATCCTTTTCCATCATCAAATATATCATTACTCAAATAGGGTCATTTCTCAATTATCTACCAGCAGGGCTTGATGGCATGCCCAAAGTCCAGGGAAAATCCCCAAATTCCATTTCATGTCATAGTCTGTTCCCATTCCATTCCCATCACAACATCATCTCACCTGAGTTGGTAATAAATTGTATATAAAATACACTTTGGATTTACTTCTCTCTATCTTCCTGATCTTTGGTTGGGATTTAACAAATATTTGAAAGGCAGGTAGCAGGAGAGACTTGGGTAATACAGAGACTGAACCTTCAGTCCCCAGATAACTGGATGTGGGCTACTGAGTTGACACAATACAGCTTAACAGTTTTAACTTTGAGTCGTACTGATCAAACATAAAGAACAATGCTTTTGCCATTAATAACCCTCCTGGTTTAAATAAAAGGAGGATAGAATATTAATAGAGAAGAAGATTTGCCAGATGGAATAGCTGCAAATGTTTTCCAGAAAAGTTTATCAGCTAGCATCATCACTTGATTTAGTAGGTCTTGCCAAGATAAACACAGAGATGTGAACAGACCAATGGGGGCACCGGGTTGGGGGTAGTAACGGGAGGGGGAGGTGTGAAAGAAGCTGGGTTTTTTTTATGGGAAAATGCTTTTGGGCTTGGAGCAAGGTACCAAGGTGGGCAGGGAGGCCACGTGCAGATTGAAAGGCAAGCCAGATGGAGAGAAGTTCCCCCAAAATACCCAACCCCAAACCCAAGAACACCAAAACAAACTCTAAGGAATCTAGCAATAGCAGCAGCACAGCCTCATTGCGCTGAGTGATTTAGAAAGTGAAGGAAGAAAGAGAAGAAGGAAGGGGAAAGGAGAGGGAAAGTGGGGGGGAAGCAAAACAAAATAAAATAAAATCACAAACAGAACAATATAAATAAAAATAAACAAACCAATAACAGAATAAAATTTGTAACTCCTTTTTTTTTAATTTCACAAAAGTTTTCACAAGGACAACGTTATAGAAGAAAACCCCCAGCAGTGGCTAGGTCATGCAGAACCATTAATTGTCATACCTTGGCCCATTCTATTCATCCTTGTTGCACTTTAGAGAGAGAAGTAAGCTATGTGAGTTTTACAATGCTTTTAAACTGTCATATTTCCTGTCGAGCACTTTAACTGGCACATTCTTATAGTTATAAATGTTCTGAGGGCGTAACTTTATAACCTCCTTTGCAAAGAATGCATGAAGAGCTCTTCATGATCCCAAACTAGGGGATACATATATATAGTTATATATATATATATAGTTTTATATATATATATAGTTATATATAAAGAGATAGATAGATAAGCGCAATATAAATCAATATATAGGGAGAAAGATAATTTGAAAAAATTCTTCCACTCATAGGGCTTTGTAATTCACATGTATACAATTATTCCCCACCCCAGTACTGGTTTGAGTACTACACTGCCCCTGTCTTTGGTGTGGGAAGGGGGTGGAGGTTCTGATCAAGCCTCACCATTTTGTCAGTAAAAGTGCTTGTCAATTCACACAGCAAGCAAATCTCCAAAACTATCATGCTTGAGGGGACAGGGGATCCAAAATCTAAACCCAAACATTCACCATAAAAACACCTTTTTAGAGATGGTACAGCTGTGACATTTTTCTTTCCTCCCTTCCACCCCTATTCTATTTGATGGAATTGTTAAAAATAAGCATTTCAAATATGTATATACCAGCCCAGGGCTGGTCCATCCATACAAGAATTTGGTTATGATGGAGTTGCTCAATTTTTAAGAACTACTGCACTGCCTAAAGCATGATTTGCATGCATAAAGCATCTGACATCTGTATTTTTTGGGGGGGAAAGCATATTTTTCTAACTCTTCTCTTGTGTTTACTAGCTGTTTTTTAAAAAAGAAAGAAAAACATTTAAAAAACACTACCAAAACATGTTTGGCTCACTGTCGCACTCTTATCCCCTGTCTCATAGTGACAAGGAACAGCTCTCTATTGTCATTATTACCCTGCCTATGTGAATTGGCTATGTTAAAGAAATTGACGACAAAGAATTTTTTTTCCCACCAGTTTTCCGCATTGGGACAGCAATATTATGCATCTGCACCAACGGCTTAAGGTAGTACTTGGCTTTTATCTCGGATGAGTCAACTGTGGCTTGATCCTCCTACATTCTAATTTATTAAGCATGTCGACTTCTAGAAAAACATGATCTGCAGCTGGGTTTATCTTCCTTTCACTCTACCATTGCCCCAGCCCTTCCTCCTACCTGGCATTAGGACCCAAACTAATCAAACAAAGGGGAGTAAAAAGGTCCCCTGAGAATGCGTGGAAAAATACCTGCTCTTTCCTGAGCATTATTTATTCTGTACATAAGGTAAGTAATTCACCTTTTAAAAGATGTAAAAGTCCCAGGAAGGCAGTTTTTAATGACTTAGATCTGATATGTATGATACATATGGCTTTTCATCCCAAATGTCACAAGTGAAAGGAAAAAAAATAGCTATTCATATGGCAACATAAGGAGACAGAGTAACAATTTAATACGCAATCAAACCTCTTTTCTCTTAAATTAAATGACTAGAATTTGATATATCCATGAATGGAATACTATTTTTTCCTCCATATTAAGGTTAGAAATAGTCATATGAACTCCCAAAGAAAACTAGCTCTGGGAAAAAAGACCTTAGTGAGTAACTAAAAAAATCTCTGATGTTCTTTTGCAACAAGCAGGTGCTTAATAATCATCTACACAAACGGTGAAAGCTTTTCAAATGCTTTGCGATTCTTCGGCCCAGAGAGTGGAAACAACAAATATGTTTTCATTGCTTTTTGGTTGCCTGTTTCAAATAAATGTGTGCTAACTTATTGTGTGTGTACAACAAAAGAAAAGAAAAACAACAAAAAAGTCAAAACCCAAAGCACCCTGATAATCCTGATAAATCAGAATAAACTTTTCTTTTACGTTAAATAAACTTGCTTTGCTTAAGTGACATTGATCACAAGTGCTCCCTTCTAATCTGTGAACTCATTCCTGCAGTGAGCTATTTATGTCTGGAGCATGCCTTGGGGTTATTTTTCCCCTAGAATCATAAATAACTTTTGGTCCGTCTGCTTATTTGCTGTTGTGCTCAAGGGTTTTATGGTGGTGAAATAAAAATGACAACCACATGCACACTATCATACATATGCAAATATGTGTAAAAAAAGGGGGGGGACTACAGGAGAAAACAGGGAAAGTTACTTTGTTGGAAACACCAACTGGGGAAATGAGTGGCAGATACAGTTTCACACAGTGGCGGTGGATACACATATCAAAGCCGCTCTTCCTGCACGTACTTCTGTTTGTCCCGGGACTCCCTGGACTTGGGCCGGTTCTGTCTGTTTGCCGTGGATGGGATGGAGTGAACAGAGGAGCTCTTCTTGCTGGAGGACTGTGACGAGTGGGAGGAATGGGACAGGCTGGCCCGGGACTGGCCGGCGTTGTGGTCAAACTGCATTAAGCAGAAGATCAGGTCCGTAGGCACAAGCTCAAACTCATAGGGAGGGTTGGTGATGACATACCTAGAAAGGGAAAGCAAAGATGTTACTAAGAGGTACCTGGGTGGAGAATTTCACTCTCCCTGAACCAAAAGAAACTGCCTGGTTGCTCAGGTCTATCAGAGGACCTGAAAGATGCACTTCTAGTTGGTCCAACGCCTTAAAATTTCTCTTCCAAATCAAATGATTTAACTCAACAGGGGAACCCAGCCAAGAGCCCAGGCAGAGATGCCAGATTAGAAGTGGTAATGGGAGAGCCAAATTTCACTTTCTATTGACTATATACACCTTTGCATACAAGGTCAAATTCACTTCCAATTCCAAGTAGTTCAACTGCAGGTGTGTTCATGGAATGCAAAAATGCAAGTTTCATTCTAGAATTTTCTGACAATCCCAGACATATATCACAGAGTCTTTGTTTATCATGACCAACTGTCTCCTTAGACCAGCCTCACTCTTTACCTTTTAACAACCTACTTTATAGAAGAATTTACTATATGGAAGAATCTAAAACGCCTCCTTGCCTGCTTGTCAGCACTGCTTTATTGTTCTCAATTAGATCAGGATTTCTCTGGTTAACACCAGATAGGACAAAAATAATCACCATGTTTCATCTATAACTGTATATCTCCAAATGTGGTCCTTAGGTCCAACAGATCAGCATCACCTGGCAACATCTTTAAAATGGGTATTCTTAAGCACCCCCTCCCCAGGACTGTTGAATCAGAAGCTCTGAGGGTATGGTTCAGCACTTTGTGGATCAACTCTGCAGATGATTCTCTTGCTTGCTAAACTTTGAGAACCCACAGGGCTATGACAATTGTTCTCAACTTTGATTATACACTAATATCTGGGAGATATATATTTATCATATATCTATGTCTATATGTAAATATAGATATGTATTTATATAAATGTGTATGTGTGTGTGTGTGTATATATATATATCCTTCTAGTTAAATCAGAGTAATCAGAATTTTATTTTTTTGGTTTGGAGTCTTACTCCGCCACCCAGACTGGAGTGCAGTGGTATGCTCATGGCCACCCCAGCGTCGGCATGCTGGGCTCTGGTGATCCTTCTGCCTCAGCCTTCCAAGTAGCCAGAAATACAGGTGCATGCCACCACACCCAGCTAATTTTTTGGTTTATTGTAGAGACAGGGGTCTCACCATATTGCCCAGGCTGATCTCAAACCTGTGGACTCAGGCAATCCTCTCACCTCGACCTTCCAAAGTGCTGGGATCAGAATAGTTTTAAGATGCTCCCCAGGTGATTCTAATATACAAACCGGGCTGAGAAACACTCATCTCTGTAGCATTGTTTCCTAGGATATATTATGCAAATGAACTGATTTTGGTGATTATAGGATATACTTTTAATTTTTTCCTGCTCTGAATTTATTTTAATGCATATTAGAAAAATACAATTAGCATACCTAAACTGTTGTTTTTCTGCTTAAAGTGAGAATATGCAGTTAGAAAAAATAAATATATAAATGTAAAAGTGAGTAAATTTAAAATATATAATGTAAAAATACAGAATTTTAAGATATGGCAAAAGAATGATTTATCTTAAACACTAGCAAGTGAAATAGCTCTATTAGTAGGTACCAACAGAGGTTATCCCAGTAGCTGGAGTTTGAGGCTGATGATTCTATTCAGACTTTTGTAATTGGGTGGTGGAATTATTCTATAAAACTTGAATTCTTCCCATGATGCCTTTATATCTGCTATTAGTAATTAAAGAAAAATGTTTCCCATAACCTCCAAACTCAATGTTGGACTTAATATGGGCAGAGTAATTTGCAAGTTGAAAGCATGTATAGAGATCTTTGTCTTTATAGTAGGGGCCAGGAGAAGGCATTAAGGTCTCCGGATTTGTCTGGGAGGACAGAGTAGAAACATACTCACCTCTTCGTGCATTGACTGGGGGTGCTGAGGTGGGCATCTCTCAGTCGGTAAATTCCAAAACAAAGCATATTATATGTTTTCAGAGCTTTGCAGAACAGATCACCATAACAACCACCATCCTGGGAGACAACAAAAGAACAGAGAGAAATATCCTTTTTATTTTCCTGAAAGTTGAGATCCAGTGGGGAAAAGGATGTTTCCATAAAAGCTTGTTGTGATATCTCCTGAGTTGGAGGGGTTGTGCCAGGGGACTGCGGCTGAAGAAGGCAACATGGTTAACAGCCTGGACCCAGTGTGGATGGTTTTAGGTGTTAGGTAATACTGGGGTTTCCCTCTAGTGACTTCAATTTTCTACCTGAAGCAACAAGATCTCTACCAAGATTATGCTTCTCCCTCATTTAGTAAGAGTGTAAAGTTTGAGGGTCTCAGATGTATGTTCAGCTAAAAGAAACCTGCTCTGCAAAATAGTGATTATGTTTAGCCTCGGTTCAGCTGTAACCACTGTGATTGAACCATGTTGTCAAAACTGCCTGGGTGATAATGAAAACCACTGCAAGGAGAAAGACCCCACCAGGTCCTATGGTGACAGACTCTTTCAGCTAAGGACTGTGTGAAAAGCACAATTTACAGACCTCAGAGATGGCAGAGGTGGACATGGATGTGTTTCCCTAGAAGCTGGGGTCCGCAGGCTGAATAACTGGGATTCACAGTTCTAATCAGTTCACAACCACCTTCCCAAGGTCTGGGCCTGATTCAGAAAGTGAAAGCAAAGGCATCCACTTGGAAGTGCTGGCTTCAGCAGCCAGGTGGCTTCAGGGAGGTGTCACCTGTATTATATGAAGGGCACGGGCCACTGTAGGATGACTTCACTGGTGATAAAATGACTACCTTTGTCTTTCCTATCACTGAAATTTGCACATGGGACCATATTAGAGAATACAGATGAGTCCAAATCTTAGCATTACTTAAAGTCTTCATCCTGGTCAAGTGTATCAGTAAATGAGTACTGTAGTAGGTGAAAAGAGTCACTAGCCACACAAGTTCAAGAATGATGCAAGTATGCAGCAATGTTTCAGAAAAAAAATAGAGACAGATCCTTTTCCTTGGTTCCTTTTCCTCTATTTGGCCTTTCCAGGCAGCACTATTGTTTGTGCAACAAGGTTATCAGTTCCTGTGACTTGTGGCTCCACCCCTTGTATACATCCATGAGGTTGGGCTAGGAATAAAGGTCAGGACTGCATACTTCTGCCAAAGTGGGCCTAAATCAGGCAAGTACAAGGCATCTGAAGGGAACGCGATCACAGGGAGGACCTGAGGGAGGGTGACTGGGTCCAGCCACAGACTTACAAGACCTAGGTTTTGAGTTAGAGACATGAGAGGATCCATATGAGATTCTGTTTATTTTGACAGTGGTTCTGGATATGCTTGGCTACCCTGGTGCTTTGAAAACGACCAGTGCTGGTCATACTCATGCACAAAAACTCAGAATCCTGGGGGCTAGGGTTGAACACCCCCATGTGCTATTAATGTATAGTTGGGTTGAGTAGCCCTGAGACCCTGTGGAAATACTTCCCAATCTTGTCTGCATGCAGATATCACCTGCTGCCTCCCATCTCGTGTAGAAGATGCCTGAGGAGTACACCAAGGAGTGAGTAAGCCCACAAACTCTGAAAGCCAGGATACCTTGGTGCAAATTCCTGATATGTCTAGTCTTCAGTCTCAAAGGGATGCCATGGACAATCACAGGAATTACTATGCATAAAGCACAGTGTTTGATACACCGTAAACCATAAATAGTCTTATAGTTATTTACGATAGGAAAGAAAAGACATAACTTAGCTTGTCACTATCAGACAGCAAGTTCTTTGGGATCAAGCTCAGGTGATCTCTGTGCTATGAACTCACCCCTAAGTCTGCAAAGGGCCCATCAAGCAGAGCTAACTGGGCCACGCGGCAACGGTCCCTATTGGCCAACGTCTGGGGGGTGCTGTAGCCCCCTCGAAGCGCATTTTCCTCAGCAATCAGAGCCTCCAGCTCTGGCGTGGCTCCTCCGGTCACCAGGGTCCGTATCAGGGTGAGAATATTGTCATTGAAGTATGTCTGAGGAGAGAGAGGAAGAGGAGGGAAAAAGTCCTTTAAGCAAACACCCTAAAGGCACGACAGCTGACATCCAAATTACAACTTTTCTTGGTATCTCCTGTTTAAGGTTCTGGCCTGTCTCTTCAAATAATTTTATATGGGAAGTGAAAAGACAGCAGCCTCCAATTATTCCATTCTTTTCTCTCCTGCTCGGCTCTGCCACAAGAGCCTGACTTTTAAAAACCAATTCAAGAGATTTTCATTAAAGGGCTCAAGTCTGAATAATTGGTGTTTACCATAGTTGGTGTTAGTAGGGATGAGAATATTGCCTCCACTCCTGAAACTTACATGTCTACTATGGGACTTTGGACATGTGTCATAAAATGAAGCCACCCCGGCTGCCATCCCAAGCAGGGTTGCTTCTGAGGTCCTGTCACCCATGTCCCAGGAAGCTGCCTTCCCACAATAATGGCAAAACCTCCTTCTATGTAGGCATAGAATGCAAAGGGAATCATTAATGCCACACACAATTTATCACATGCTTCGATAACTGTCTAACCCAGAAGTCTCTATCAATTAAATGTGCCTGATAAATATATGGCAAGGTGAATATCTTGGTATGTGTAGTTTGATTTTTGTTTTCTAAAATAACCTCAGTCATCTGAGGCAAACATAGCTTATTAAAGAAGTCTCCCTCTAAACGTACATTTGTCTCACATCTGAAGCATAACAGGTCTGTCAGGAACAAAACAATGGGAGTTTAAAATAATTAATAGGATGTCAAATAAAAGAGCTTAAAAAGATATTTGTCACCCAGCCTAATTTGAGAAAACCTCAGTTAAGGGTGTGCATTCCATTTTCCTATGTAAAAAGAAATCATGTGGGTTAAAGCAAATCAAATCAAATTTTGCCTGTGGCTTTTGAGGATGTATGTACCTTTGGAGAGAGGGTAGAAAAGATGCATTTTCATTTCAGCAGCTTGTTAGAAAGCTCACCTGGCAAAGCATAGTGAGGAAACATCAGGTAAGGATGAGTTCTCATCTCTGTTTTGCCATGTCTCCGAGGAGGTTTTCTAATCATTCTGGCCTTTGATTTTCTCTTCCGTAAAATAAGCATTTTCATTGATACCAAGTTTATATGCAAAGAATTCCAAGAGGACTTGTGAGTTAAGATGATAGCTGCTAGTGTGCCTAGTTTCACTTTCCTTGTTGAAATACTCATAAAATCACCCAAAGTGATGTAAAATTCCAACTGCAAAGGAAACTAGGAATGTTATTAATAGCCTGCCAGAAGAGCCCAAGAAAAACGTCTACTCAGAGTTCAGATCTGCCATCAGGCAAAGAAACAGAACAAGGATACCCAAAGTATCCTTGTGTTGCTGGAGAGGTGAGGGATCCAGTGTTGAGTTGAGGGTTTAATGATGACATTACCTCTTAGAAGCTGGAAAGTCATTTAGCATTTTTGTGCCTCAGTTTCATGATCTGTAAAATGTAATAATTGAGGAGACTCTCTAACTTTTTTTTGTTTTTGAGTTGGAGTCTTACTCTGTCACCCAGACTGGAGTGCAGTGGCCGCTCTCGGCCACCACAGCCTCGACCTGCTGGGCTCTGGCGATCTTTCCACCTCAGCCTTTCGAGTAGCCAGAACTACAGGCGCGCACTACCACGCCCAGCTAATTTTTGATTTATTGTAGAGATGAGGTCTCACCAAGTTGCCCAGGGGGTTCTCGAACCCGCGGGCTCAGGCAATCCACTCACCTCAGCCTCCCAAAGTGGTGGGATTACAGGCTGAGCCACCGAGCCTGGCTCTCTCTAACTTAACACACATGAGGCACTCAGAAAAATGCTTGGTACACAGGAAACACTGACAAGTACTTTGGGCTTTTAATATCAAAGACATGGGGCTTTTGCTGATGAAAGGAACAGTCACCCTCCTTTCCAACCTACCCTTGGTGTTGTTTTAATCTTTTCTGTTTTTTGTTTTGTTTTCTATTTTGGCGGGGAAGGAAGGGAGACTTAAATCAAGGCCACTTCATTTTCCTGTTGTATCTGTACGTCTCAGTCTGCTTACATTCTAACCCTTCATTTAGACTCAGCTAGGTACAACTAAGGTCACTGGGGACTGCATTCTGGGATATAGTAGCAGCAGTAGGAAGGGCTGCCAGAGAGGCATTCTAGTGAAGGTAGGTTCAGGGCACATACACAGGCACTTCCCTACAGTGCCTGTAGGAGTTAAATTCCCTTCCCTACAGTCAGATAATCTATCATTAGAACCAAAGACCACTCCCCAGCACTGCATATCACATCAGATAAGCGAGAGCTGGACACAAGACATTGACAAGGGCCTCTGTTCTACAATTGCTATTCTAGATCAAAACCAAAGGGAGAGTTCTAGCAGCATATATATAAGGTGGATGACACATTTACAATCCTGTATACTGACAAGCTGATCTCTCCTTACTCAAATATAAAGAGATAAAAGAAGAGCCAATATAAATATGTTTGAAAAGATAATTCTAGTGCTCAAGATATAAAGAAAAAACCATCCTTTTGACTGGTTAAATAGTTACTGAAAAAATAGAAAAATTCATAGAGCGTTTGCTTTGGAATCAAAATAAATTTTTTAAAAATACAGATTATAAAAAGAAATAAAAGATAAAATAGTAAGAAATTGGCTTCACACACTTATCCAATTATTTTTTATGTCAACTAGTGAGATTACAATGGATATAAGAAATTGTTAAAAGGATCCAACACCATTTCCTGATAAAACGCACACAACAAATAGAACTTTCTCAACCTGATAAAGGGCATATAGGAAAAATCCACAGCAAACATCATACTTAACGATGAAAGACTGGATGCTTTCCCCTTAAGATCAGGAACAAGACAAGGAAATCTGCTCTCACAACTTCTATTCACCATTGCACTAGAGGTTCTAGCCAGGGTTAGAAAGAAATAAAAGGCATTCACATTGGAAATAATAGAGTAAAACTATCTCTATTCACGTCAAGATGACATGATCTTGTACATAGAAAATCCTAAGGAATTCACTAAAAAATTAATGTGGGTAGTAAATTACTTCAGCAAAGTTGCAGGATGGGAAGCCAATAAGCAAACATCAGTTGTATTTCTGTACATTTGCTACGAACAATATGAGCATGAAATTAAGAAAATAATTCCACTAATACTAGCATCAAAAAGAATAAAATACGTAGGAATAAATCAACCCAAGGAGGTACAAGACCAATATACTGAATACTACAAATATTACCAAAAGAAGTTAAAGATCTAAAGAAATAGAAATGTGTTCCATGTTCATGGATTAGAAGACTTAAATTATTATGATGAAATACTACCCTAAACAATGTCCAGATTTAATGCAATCTTTATTAAAATCCTAAAGACTATTTTTCACAGAAATGGAAAAACTTACTCTAAAATTAATATGAAATTACAAGAGACCCCAAATAGCCAAAGCAATCATCTGCAAGAAAAACAAAGTTGGCGAGCTTATACTTCCTTATTTCAAAACATAGCAAAAGCTTTCAGTAATCAAGATAGCATAATACTGGCATAAGGACAGGTATATAGATCAAAGGAATAGAATTGAGAATCCAGAAATAAACTCATACAGCTACAATCAAGTGACTGTCAGTAAAGGTGCCAAGAGCATTCAATTGGAAAATAATATAATCCCTTAAACCAATCACATTCTAACAACTGGTTATCCATATGCAGAAGAATAAAGTTGAATCTATACTTCACATCGTATGCAAAAATTAGCTCAAAATGTTAATGATTAAACTATAAAGTGCTCAGAAGAAAACATGGGAGTAAATCTTTACAACCTTTGACTTCACAACAGTTTATAACAGTCTTAGTTAACTTTGACATCAAAAGCATATGCTACAAAAGAGACATAGATGAATTGGACATTTAAAAAATACATTTTTAAAAGTTGTGCATTGAAGGACACTACCCTGAAAGTGAAATGACAACCTACAAAATGAAAGTAAAATTTTGCAAATCATATATAGAATAAGGGTCTACTATTCAGTATTAAAAAAAACCATTTCTAATTCAACAACAAGAAGATTACTCAATTTCTAAGATAAGCAAGGATTTAAACATTTCTTTTAAAAAGATGCAAAAGTAGTCAACAAACTTACGAAGAGAGGCTCAGCAAAACTGATCATCAAGAAAATGCAAATCAAAACCACAGTAAGATATCATTTTATACCTACCAGGATGGCTATAATTAAAAAGACAGATAATAACAAGAATCCATGAGAATATGGAGGAATTGAAACCCTTGTACAACTGCTGATGGGAATATAAATGGTACAGCCACTTGGAAAACAGCCTGGCAGTTCTTCATATGTTATGTATACACCCAGGAGAAATTAAAATATACGTCTGCTCAAAAACTTGTACACAGATGTTTCTAGTAGCATTATTCATAACAGGCAGTAGGTGGAAATAACCAAAATATCCAACAACTAATGAATGCATAAATGAAATGTGTTATATCCATGCAATGAATATTATTTGTCCATAAAAAGGAACGAAGTTCTAATACATGCTACAATGTACAAACATTGCAAACATTGTACTAAGTAAGATTTAATTTATACGAAATGTACAGAAGAGGCAAATATACAGAGTTCAGTAGTAGATTAGTGGTTACTTAAGGCTGGAGAGTGGTGAGTAGAGTTATGGAGAGGAGAGAATAGCTAAAATGTAGGAGGTTTCTTTTTGATGTGATGAAAATGTTCTAAAATGAACTGTGGTGATGGTTGTGAATATACTAAAAACCATTGAACTGTACACTTTAACTGAGGAGTTACATGGTATGTTAATTGTATCTCATTAAAGACTTTTTAAAAAAAGAAATAGTTATAAGACAGCTACATTCATAATGGTCAACAATTTTATCTTAAAAACTGTTAAGTGGTAGAACTGAAAATTGCACGCACACACACACGCACCTACACAGAATCCATGGTGTGAAAGTAAAAC